CACAAGCATTGCTCTTCTTAAAAGAGATTAATTCACTTGCCACATTTTGTCCATTGGCGAAAATCTCAGGGGAGAGCAAGGGTGGCTTTCTCAGGCCTCAAAGGCCCTTTCAGCCACTCTCAGCAGGCAGCCAGTCCCTTAGCAGGCCCAGGACTTTGAAATGACTGCCCACTGGGCATTCACTTGCAAAGCAACACAATGAAATGGAGGAGACCTGGTTTGTAAAATCCCAACTTTATGGGCTGCTCTGTACAAAAGTACTGGTGGGGGGCACCCAGCTCTGAAGAGAAAAAGTTACTTGTGGTTGGGGGTTCTCTTGTGGTCCCTTCTTTATTTACCAGGTGCCACCATCCTTACAGGAGTTCTGTTTTAATCCTTGTAACCACTTTGCATGAGAGGGATTAATGTCTTCCATTTTGCAGCTAGTAAGTGACCGAGCTAGAATCTGAACTCCAGCCTTTGTACTCCAGGGTCATTCCTTTTTTATCATTATACCTCAACCCCAAGAGACTGCAAAGAATGATGCTCAGTCAAGGAGCTGGGCAGGGCTGAAAAGCAGGAGTCTCACTGAGGAACACCAAGGTTTCCTCCTGTGAGTGGCCCCTCAGGTTTGTAGAGCCCTTTCCTTCATATTTCAGTGCCACCTTCTAAAACTCCTGTGACACTGGGAGGATTGTGATCCTCATTGGACCTATGAAGAGACTGAAGCTTAGCAAGATGATGTGCCTTCCTTCAGGGCGTTAGAATAGTAGGTGGCAGAGCTAGAGCTAGAACCCAGGTCTCCTGAGTCTTCCATACGTTCTTTCATTGAAATGATAGCAGGTTTAGGGAAGTGTCTCTTCCAGCAGTTCCTTCTTTTTAAATAGAAAACTCTGCAGTGTATCGAAGAGAAAATCCCAAAAGCAAACATGCATATAACAAATAGCTCAAAATTATTAGTGATCAGAGACATGCAAAATAAAAGAATAATATGATAGCCCTTTATACCCACCCATTAGACTGGCAGTGATTAGAAAGCTGGCTATGGCCACGTGTTGACAGGAAGAGGGATACATAGGCACACCTCTGTCCTGCTTGTGGAAGGGTCAATGGAGCAGCTATTCAGGAGAGGACCCTGGCACTATTTAGTCAATCAACTACACACATACCCCAGGACCCAGTGATCTCACTCTGAGTACATGCCACAGGGAAATGCTCACACAGGTCCAAAAGGGGACATATGAGAGGATATGCTGTGAGCATTGTGTTTGGTGGCTGGGACATAGAGGCTCCCTGGGCAGGTATGCCTAGGAAAGCAGAGAAAGAAAATGTGGACACATACCATGGGGAATTATGCAACAATTAGAAACAGTAAGTTCTTGCATACTTAGCAATATGAGCATACTTAAAACAAAGTTATAAGCAGAATTTTATACACATACACGCACACAGGTACGTAACTGTGTATCTGTAGGTTTAAAAGTAGGAAGGAAGGCAGGAAGAGAAGAGAGAAATCTTGCCTGGCTTAGGTCGTGGAAAGCAAGAACCTCTCTCTCTGTCTCTTCCTCAGTAGCCAGCAAGAGGCTGGGCACAGAGTGGGTATGTGTACTTGTTTGCTGAATGAATGAACACAGTGCCTAGAACCAGCCTCACTGAATTATCCAGTCATCCTCATGACCACATCTTAGAATCCCTGGGTATGGCCAACCTGCCACACTACCAGCTTGAGAGCACTCAGATTTGTTCCATCAAAATGATGGAAGTGAGACAGGATGGTAGGGTCTGTATTGAGTACCTGCTATATGGCAGGGCTGGGATCTTACAAATTAGAGATTATTATCCCAAAGGTCAGAAGACTGAAAATTAGAGTTGATTTGCTCAGAGTTATCTAGCTGGATCAGAATTCAAATCAAGGTCTGACCTACTCCAACACCCTTTATTCGTCCATTTCTTTTTGTTAGACTGCACTCAGCCCTTGAGGGACAGTAGGAGGAGGCGTTTCAATCTTCTTTCTTTAGCCCTACCTCTAGAGCAGCTGCTTCCACAATTTTCAGGGCCCAGGCAGGGGAACATGGTCATTGTTTACTCCGAGGCGTGAGGGATTTTAGTCCCTCTGAGTTTATCCTAGTTACACTCTCCTTTCTTATTTTCCTGCCCAGCTCTCCTCTCTCTAGGTCTGTATTACAGCAGCCTCCAGACTGGTCTTCTTATCCCCATTTTGTACCCTCCCCCCTTTCAAATTCAGCCTGCTTAGCAATTAGGTTAATGTTATAATTTTTTTTGCCCCAAAACCTTGAATGACAACCTCACTGCCTTTGGTGGGAAATTAAGGAATGCCAAGTAGGTTTTCTCTCTGTTGCTAGCTTCAGTGGATTGATGGTGGCTGATTGGAACCTGTTTTGAAGAACATTCTGAGGCTCTTTCAAAGGCTCCACAGCAAGAGCTGCTGGGAGAGATGTGTGATATGCCTCTTAGACATGGGAGTGCAGGGCAGTAGCTTCGATGCCAGGAATCTGTCAAACCTTTAGACTGAGCTCTCATCCTAGGGTCCATTACTGATTTCATGGGGGCTGTGAACACCTGATCATTATATGTGAAAAAAATTTTTTTTGAGTGTGTGTGCTCCTTTGCACTTTCCTGGAAGAAATCCGATCATAGTCACAAAAGAGCCCAGAGCTTAACAGGTTTATGCCCACTGCCTTGGCCTCCTAGTCTGACATTTGAGGCCCTGTGTTGCCTCTGCATACCTCAGCAGCTGTTTCTCTGCTGTGAACTGTCACCCAGATGGAGCTGCCTGATGGTCTGTGAATGTTCCTTTCCTGCTTCGCAGTCATATCCTGTTTCTTGCCTTGATTGACATGCACTTCCTTCCACTTCTCTAAACTCTTCCCCTTCTTCAAGACAGAATTCAAGTTTATTCCCTCAGAAGCCTCTGATTTTCTAGCCTTTTAGACCGAGGGTCAAAGAAATGAGGCCATCCCAATTAGGATGATAGTTAAGATCAGAACCATGCATGCTCTACTGTATCACATGGCCTGCTAAACAAGGAGAGGAGATTCTGTAAATTAGGCAGCGTTCTTGGCTGTAGAAAATGGTTTCTGCATAAAAGAAGTTTAACATTATATATAGTAAGGGACCTCCACCAGAATAAACCCTCCAAACTAGAGATAAGAAAGGAAGGTTTCCTAATCTCTCTTTATTTTATTTTATTTTTTTTTAATTTTTTTTACACTAAACATAAAAAGAAAAAAAAGAAAAATCAACATGAATTTGAAATATGCATAAAATTAATAGCAGAGTTTTAGTAGAATTCCTAATCTCTCTTAATACTCTCTCCTAACATTTTGTGCCCCAGTCACACCAGACCTCTTAGGGGATCTCGTGTATCCCATGCCTGCTGTTGGTGAAGAAGACTTCCTCTACCTGGAACACTCCTTCCCCTCCTTCACCCCCTTTTGTCTGGCCAGTTCCCCTTTATCAGCACCTCCTCAGAGAGGCCTTTTTGGCCACTGAAACTGGGTTAAGTTCCCTTGGTACATGCACCTGCAACCCATAGTCCCATTCATAGCACTCATGGGACATGCAGTTCTGTGGTGTGTCTCCCTCTTGGGCTTTGACAGTGCTTTTGAAAGTGTTTGAAAGAAGCATTAATTAGTACATGATGTTTCTCATCCTCTCAAGCCTGAGTTACCTGCTAACATCAGCAACACAGAGATTTTATTTGACTTGATCTGTAAGGACATTTACTATAGATTGTGGCACAAGAATGGTGCTAGGACTCAAACCCAAGCCTTTGGACTCTCTGCCCTTTGTCTAGAACCCACTGAAAAACAGACAGCCTCCTAGCTTCCCCAACCCCTTCTGCCCTTTCTTAGCACTGTGTTGTTTGATATACTGTCTTGAGCCATGTCTTCTCCTCACCCTCATCCAGAATCTAGCACAGGACCAAGCACATGTCATACAGATTCACTGACATCAATGTAGTCTTTATCTTTCATGTTATCTAGAGCTAGGTTCTGTCTAGAGGAAGGTAGTGAGGTGAGAAGGAGCCTGGCTTAAAGTTACTGCCAGCCAGTCACTGCACTGCCCCTTAATGAGCTGTGTGACCTTAAGCAAGTCATTTAACCTCAATGAGCCTGTTACCTTATCCCTTAAAAGAGGAGATTACTCTTAGCTCCTTAGGTGGTATGAAGACCACATAGAATCATGAATGTAAAGTACCCGGGATAGTTCCTGCTTGTAGAAGGTGCTCAGTAAGAGTTCATTCTGTTTACCCACCCCTACATTGTTGGGTCCCTTATTCCTGGGAGCCAAAATTCAGACTTTTAGTGGGATACTTTAAATTCCGTGTTTGTTAATTTATTTAACAGTTATTAAGCTTCTACAACATTTTAGGCACTGGCATATAGATTCCCAGAGGGTCTATGTGGACTCTCCTAGGAACCTAATCTATTTCCATCTTTCCTTGGGTTGAAGGATTTTCAATTGCTAAACAACCACAATACAGATAAAGTTGAGAAATGTGATCATTTTGTCAACTGATAACTGATTAGATAAGACGTGTCATTAGGCATTCTGTTCCTAACATTGGGAAATTAAGGAAGGAAGAGCTGTGGATTGGATGAGTCAAGGAAGGCTTACTTCTTAGGAGTGCACAAGCCACAAGGATTGTATTAAATAGAATGAGAGGAGAATTCAAATATGCAAAGGGGCAGGGAGAGTATTCTGGACCAAGGGAGTGAGAGTGTCAGAGTATTAAGATAGGGAGGAATTATTCTTTTCTCAAGGGCTAGGAAGACAACAGAGGGGACAGACTGATTTAAGGGAAGGAGAGAGGTTGGGGAAGGCTTGATGGGGCAGAATGACCAGAGAAGCTGAGAATGGGAATATAGTCCTCAAAGGCCTCTGTTTCCAGACTCACTCAGCCTCTGTTTGTTGACTGTGTCTGTTTCTTCTATGGTTGTTGCCACTCTTACATCCATGATAAGTCATACCCTGAAAATATTTCTGTCTCATTTTAGACTGCTGTCAGAAGGCGCAGATGTCAACGCAAGGCACAGACTTGGCTGGACAGCACTCATGGTGGCAGCCATCAACCGAAATTACAGGTGAGAGATCTCCTTCCACATAGGGCTCCTTTAGGCAGATCTCTGCAGTCTGCGCTCCTGAGCATGCTCCCACCTGTTGTGCCTCCCTACTGTCTTCTTCCAATGGCAGGGAGATGGATTCAGACTAAGGTATTGGACTTCACCTGGTGCATTGGACTCTATAGTAGCCGTGGACACGGAAGATGTAGCTTTGATTCCCAGCTCCTTCAATCATTGGCTTTGTGACCTGAGGCCAGTCATTTGCATTATTGTAGCAACCAGATGTTTGGAGCCTGTTGTAAGTGGTTATATGTATAGGTGCAAGTTACTGTCATGTTCTGTTACCCCCGTCTGTTCATCTTGAGAAGTCTGCAGTTATTGTCCCCAGCAAGTGCTCCTCCAGGGGCTTTTTCTTTGGAGGTTCTGCTGGAAACTAAGAAAGATGGGGGATCTCTTTCCCTCCCATTGGAGGCTCTGCTGTTTTCCTGCCCACTCCCTCACTCTCTCAGGGCTGTGGCTATTGTATAAAGATTGAAATAGTTTACTTTGTGTAGTGAGTTATCTTAATTCTCATAGTTGCTCCATAACATATATATTATGCTCATGTTGTAGCTCAGAAAACTGAAACCCAAAGAGAAAAAGTGATTTATCTGTGTCACTTGGACAGGATTTAGAACCTGGTCTGGCTGCTTGCAAAGTCTGTGTTACCGTGTTTTTGAGGTTTTTTTTTGAGATACAGTCTTGCTTGGTCACCCAGGCTGGAGTGTAATGGTGCAATCAATGGCTCACTACCTCCTGGGCTCAAGTGATCCACCCACCTCACCCTCCCGAGTAGCTGGGACTACAGGTGTACACCACCATACTGGGCTGATTTTTTTTTTTTTAAGATAGGGCTCTCACTATGCTACCCAGGTTGCTCTTGAACTCCTGGCCTCAAGTGCTCCTGTATCCTCAGTCTGTAATCCCAAAGTATTGGGATTAAAGGCATGAGCCACTGTGCCCAGCTATGGTCTGTGTTTTTTACTGTATCTCACTGCTACCTCCCAATGTCAGATCCCAGCCTAGTGCAGATGCTGCCTTTCTATTTCAGTCAGTTCTGATTTCTGCCTTGGAGTCTGTATAATTCTGGAAGTGTTGGGATGAAGTACACATTTGCTCTAGCTACAATTGTGTGAAATTGATTAAATAAAAGCAAAAAAGGATACTTTCAAAGAAAGTAGACTGGGCACTTTAGTAACAGCCATTGAAATTTATAGTTGGAGGTACCAATTTCAATTCTTTCTGCAAGTAGGCGTTTAAGGCTTTTATCTGCCAGTACTGGCCACCTCTGAAAGGATTATAAATATGAAAGAAAAAAATGTAACTGGGATTTTATAATATAGAGGTGGTACTGCCTCAGACTGACTGAGAGACTTAGCTATACATGAGATGGGTCTCTCTTCTGTGCTCCTTTGTTCTCAGTCACTCAGTTTCCTGATTTGCCCTCTTTAGCTGCAAGCACCTATGCTTTAAAAGCAAAATTGATATAAATAGGCTTCATAGCTGAGAGACCTGGAGTCCAGTCCTGGTTCCAAGCCTTAATTGAATTTCAGAGCTCCATGAACACCCTGTTTCTTCATCAGAAATTGTTTCTATGAACATTTAGTAAATATCTGCCTTGAGCCAGGCCCTGTGCTAGTGTTTGCAGAATCCAAGACCGTGGGGAGTTTGCAGTCTAATGGGAAAAACAAATACAGGTAAAGAGACATAATATAGTATAATCAGTGATTTTTGAGCAGTGTCTATGGGATACTATCGAAGCAAAGGGTGGGAGGAGACTTATTGTGGCAGCAGAGTAGATTCTTGCCATATACTTTTGAGAATCCAGTGAGGTAATGTATGTACTACAGGTTATAAGTGGTGGGTTGTTAGTCTCTGATGCCCCCATTAGACTTCTGTACACAAACACACCTGTTAATTCTACGCCACTGGTACTTCACCACATGCACCAGTCTTTTCCCCCAGCTTGCAGGTGTTTCCCTCTGCAAGAAATAGCCAGTAGTGCTAAAGGAGAGGTGGAGAGATGTGTTCCCTTCTGTGTGTAGTAGTTTCAACTTGAGACTGAATAGGAAATAACACCATGCTTAAGAATACTGTCAATTAGTGATCAGATGGCTAGTAAATGTGCTTTTGGGGACACATCTCTTTGAATCTAATGAGTTGTTGGTTTAACTGATTGTTCTGTCTTTATCCAGAGCTATTAGCAAATCAGTGATGCCTGTTGAGCAAAGTGAGCGTGTTGACTTATATTAGTTGGACTAATTAAGTACCCATTTTGTGCCCTTCTCTTCCTTCCACCATCCAGGGAGGACATATTTTTATTAAAAATAGCATACTCTTGGGTTGGATTTATATATTCATATCAAAGAATTTTTTTTGGCTCCTACTGTTTGCCAGGTACTGTTCTATGTACTTGAAATAACATTGATGATAAACAAAGATGCCTGCCCACAGAGAGCTTCTTTCTGTATTAGTTGTGGTCTTTGGATAGAGAAAGGCGTGGACAGACAATAAGCAATAAGTATAATGGCAGAGTAAACCGTATAATATATTAGAAGAAGTGCCATGAGAAAAAGGAAAAGTAGAACGCATATTGGTCAGGGTGAGTAGGCCTCATTGTTAAGGTGCCCTGTGAGTAGTCTTGAAGGATTATCATATCCATACCAGCACAATCTGTCAATAGGTTTCTCTTTGTTGGAAATGTACTGATTTTCCTGTAATCAGTCACTAACTCCTTCCAGAATCATATTGGTCAGACCCGAAATGCTACCATATTTGAATCAGATTTCGATGAAGGGAAGATAGAAGGGGAGCACCCTTGATTCAAAGCTGAAAGCAGAGAGAACCTTCACCTCCTTTAGGATGTAGGCAGCCCACAAGCTCAAGAGAGAGATCCTCAGAGTAGCCCAATCATTTCACCCTGATGCTGCTTAATAATATGTTAAGTCTTTAGGGATATAGAATATAATAGTCTCTATCCTTAAGGAGCTTAACTTCTTGTGAATTTCTAGATTTGTATGTACTTTTTAGTTCTGAATAGGAAAAAACAGTGCTGTAGAACTACATTCTAAAAATATGCACAGGAATTTAATTTATAATGTATTTTCTCCTTTTATTTTCAAAAAGAGTTTGAAGTAACTTAAAATACAAATATAAATATACACAGGAGAGGGAAAAGTGGTTCAAGATCAGAAATCATATTGGTTAAAGAAAAGATAATTTTATAAAGATTGAACCCGAGATTCTCTTTTCTGAAAATAGATTTATTGTTTTTGTAAAAACATATAGAAAAGAAAGTGGTAGTCACCTGAATTCCATCTATCTAGCAGTTGGTTGTTGTATATATGTTTATATACAAATGTAACATGAATGGGACCATGCTGTATTTACTGTAAATTAGGTAATTAGGCAAATTGGGTATTAATTTAGATTGACATTTCCTGATAAAGCAAAAAAGGGATACAGAGCATTATATCTCTGTATATTATATGTATTTATATTATCATTATATATATAAAATATATATTATCATTATGTATATCCAGCAAACATTATTTAAAATCTCCACGGTGTCAGGTGCTAATGTGCTAGGCTATCGGGGATTCAGAGAATAAACAGTCACAGCTTTTGCCTTAAGAAGCTTACTTTGACTGCTGACATCAAGGACTTGAGCAATGTGATGGCCATTGTCTTCAGTAGCCATGCTGCCAAAGCTTTACCAACATTCTACTAGGACAATCTTTTGCCAGCCCTAGTAACAGCTTGGGTATAGTATTGACTCAAGGAACAGTCACTAGGGTCTGGCCCCCTTCTCCACAGTGAGCCCTCTATAAGCCTCATGCCACAAGGCACTTGTTTAGCCTGAGTCTGGGTGTCTCATTCTATATTGCACTCTGACCCAGTCCAGCTAAAGGCTAAGCCACAGGGTCCCAGAATGATCACTGTGACTTAGCATAGCCCTCACCGGCTTGTGCAAATATACACAGCCTTCAGCTAAATTCAATTAGTTTTTCTTTAAGAAGGGAAAGAAATCCAATTTTACCAAACACGGACAGACGGTGGAAGGCACTTTGATGTTACAACCTCTCAGTGATGCTTTACTTAGTCACAAGTTCATAAGCAAGAAGGCTTAATTACTTGGGAAAACACAGGATTAAAACTGGACACAATGGCTGAGTATCCGCTCTCGGGCGACTTGATTCGAACCCATGCACCTAGTTCGTGTGTGGTGCAAACTTTGATGTGTGCTATGACAAGCTGAAAGTCATGACCCCCTTGGAGAAGTTCCCTCAGATGGCATTTGCAGGATGTGTAGGCGGAGAGGCAGGGCCTGCCAGGCCTGTTTGCTCAACTTTGATGTCCAAGCAGCCACAGGCCCCACTATTTGCTCTTCCACTGAGGGATGGATTGGGAGCCTCCTACCTTTCCCAGTGAACAATGGCCAGCCATGGAGTGTGACGACTGTTGACCATTCCAGAAGTCTGGCCGACCAGAACAGGGCTTTGGGAGGTGCAGAGCCTGGGGGGCCAAAAGCTGCTCATAGGACAGTCATTTCTCCAGATGTAGCTTTCCTTAAAGTTTTGGTGGTGTTAGGTGCTTGCAATGGAGATAAAAATAGTCTCATGAGTTTTAGCAGGTTTTAAGTACTGCTTGACCCTCTGTTCCAGCAGCACTACGATGTTTGTAAATTGAAAGTTTAAGTCTTTCCTAGTCCCTTAATTAGAGTACGTGCAGAGGATAGTGGTTTGGAAGAAAAATGATACGACTTAGATTCTTATAATTTCTAATACATAACAAAAGAAGCTGTCAAAACATATATCTGATAAAGGAATAGTACCCAGAACATACAAAGAAGTCTTACAAATCGATAATAAAAAGATTAACAATTCAGTTTTCTTAAATGGGCAAAACATCTGAGCAGATGTGTCACCAAAAAAGAGATGGGTGGCAAATAAGCACATGGAAACATACTCTGCAAATTC